CTGATCACGAGCTCAGCGTTTCGAACGTGCATTCTGAAATGTCCGCAGAGAGTGGGGGAAATGGAGAGGAAAACCGCCTAACTCGGGGTGGGCGGGGATGAGCAGCGCCTGCTAGTGCCGCTGACGCTTCGGCCCGTGTCTCGCTCGCAGGTGCTGGGCGGTGGAGAACCCGGAGCAGGAGGAGGTGGAGGAGAACGGACCCGCGAGCAACCCCTACGACTACAGGAGGCTCCTGCGCAAAACCTCCCAGCGACGGCGCCTGGTCCAGCAGGTGTAACCCTGCGGCCACAGCGGCCTCCGAAATGTGCCCTAGACTGCGGGGTGCAAGTGCGCAAGAGGAGGACCTTCAGGCGCTGAAGTCTGGGCTTGGACTTGGGCAGGGGCTGCCCGCGCGCTATCCCCCCGGCGAGGGCCCTTTGGCGCTCGGAAGGCGGAGACCTGGGACCTTTTAGGACTGCAAGTCGCAGTGCTCCGCACCCCCGCTCCCACCGGCACACCAGTTGGGGCATCCCTGTCGCTGGCCCCCAGTGATTTGTTCACTTGTTTGCGAGTCCTCCTAAGAACCCTACGGCGCCTGAGCTCTTGCTGACTCCTCTCCATTTTCGGTGACTTAAAAGATTTCTTAGTTCATGGAAATGCCTCTCCCAGACCCGAGGGACACTCGCGGGCGGGTTGAGTCTTCAGAACGGAGTAAAGCCAGGGTGGGAGAGGAACCGCGAGGATGGTGTGCAAGTTTTGAAGATGAACGTCATCTTAAACTCGTGCTTCCCTTCCCTCGGTCATTAAGGTCTCTAAATAAAGGAGGTGCCTTGGAGAGTCCGTGGCTTTCAGGGGTGGTGCGTTGTGTTCCCCTCTGAGGCCCAACTCCGGAGAGGGGAGAGGTGCCTTCCGTCTCCAGCAGCGAACAACCCCACCACCGTCTCCCGCAACACACATACGAAGTTGCAGCCCACACTTGCGACACAAACGTGTCCTCCAGACAGATCCCCAAAATCACCCAACACGCTGCACACACACACGGCCTTCCCAAACACCGTACCTTCCTTTGGCCCACGTGTAAAGTTTTGGTCCACTACTGAGTGAAGTGTCAGATGCTTTTTTAAGTTCTCCCCTCCTGCAAATCTGAAGCATTTCCGCTGTCTAGAATTTTGGTGAATTTGAGATGGAGGGGAGGGCAGTGGGTGGGTAGAGGTTTGCATTCCTCGGTTGGTACATATTATTTTAAAATCCGGGTCGAGCTCTTCTATGAAACGTACACCCTTCGTGTTTACACAACCCCGAGAGGGCAAGAAGGGTGGTGCAGTGTTTTCATCCACGACGGACTCGGGAGGAGGGTTCTGGCTGTGACGGAGCTTTTCCTTTCCGCCGGTGTCCCTGGCTCCTAAAACCCGGCCCGGAGCCAGGAGACTTTGGGGAAATATTCGAGCACAGCGTGAGGGCCGGTGCAGCCGGCTGACGACGTTTAGTGTGCCGCTCGCCCACCGAACACAACCTTTTCTCCAACCTAAACAGTTGGGACTGACAGGTCCCTTGAGATGACTCATAAAAACTCTTCACTTTACAAATGAGACCAGCCCGAGGGGTAAACCTCCCACAGTGGCGGGCTGAGCTCTCAGGACAAGTGCGCTCCTCGTTCTACGTTTTCCCGGGGTTCCTGCCACCGCCCCAGCCCAGGTTTGTGACCCGAAGGGAGGAGCCACGTGGTAGCAGTGGCGCGTGGCCGGGCGGGGTCTGGCTCAGGCACCTAGGAAATCTGCGCGACAGGGCCTGGTGCACTGGCGGGTCTGGGAAGGTGGAATCCCTGTACCCAGAAACCGCTTGGCCTCCTCCGCCCCCAGCCAGCGTTCCAGCCACCACGTGGAAGCCTTGTGGGTAAAAGCCAGCTTTCTGCCTGGACCCTTCCTCAATCCAGGATTCCGAGTGGCCCCTGCAGACCAGAGCCCTAGCAGCCTGGCCCTAAAGTTACTGCAAAGAGAGGCAACTGACCATTTCCCTAAATCCTTCCTCCCTCCTTTTACAGTGGGTCCGGGAAAGGGCGGGGCAAGTTTCTGGTGAAAGGACGCAATATTTTTTTGTTTTTCTATTTCTTTATTTTCTCCCCTTTCTCTTTTTTCCACCTTTCTTTTTTCTCTGCCTTTCAACATATAAGCACTGGGAGAACATAAGGGAAGAACTGTACCATACACTCTTGTTTGGCGAGCCTGCAACGCTATCTCTGGGTAAATCGGGGACAAAAAAAAAAAAAATAGGTCAACCGAGAAAGCCGCCCGGAGCATTGGTCTCTCTTCCCTTGCTGAGGAAGGGCTTTGGAAAGCTTTCCCCCTCTCTGGCCCACCCCCCCCCTTCCCATTGGGCGGCTGCCTCCTTTGTGAACTAATGACTGCAATTATTGCCGCCCTGAGGGCCTTTGTTATCTCCAACCGGAGCCTGAAGCAGGGGGAGTGGGCTCCTGTGCTAAATAAAAGTCAGAATAAAGCAAATTGCCATTTAGGGAGGAACGGCATTAAGGAAGGACGAATCAGATCCTGAGTGCATCTGAAGTAGGGGTGTTAAATAAAAAATGCAAATACTACCCTTTGATTCAAAGTATGCCAGAGCTGCGGGATGTAACGGAGTAGAATTTTAAGCCACTGCGTTTTTAAAAACCTGTGAAATCCAGGTGTGAATTCCACCTTCCTCATATTTCAATCCATGTCTTCCTTGGGCCTTGTGTGTGTGTGTTTAATTCTTTTTTTTCTTAAGAATCTTCCTGTTTTCGACCACTCATCCATAATATAAAAATTCTGCCAACCCAGCCTGCTGCCTTGAAGCGAAACATTTGCAGGATTTGGTGTGGACTTAGACAAAGAATGTGCATCTGCACTGTGGAATTAAGAGCTACAGAGCTGCCCTGCCCGCGGCTCAGACGGAGGGGCCATCGAGTCATTACCCCCCTGGAGTTGTTACCTGGCTTCACTGGACCATGGGAGCCGGGAGCGCAGAAAGAGGGGCTGAACTGGGGCCTGGGTTGGTGCCCACCGCGAGCCCGCAGCCTCATGCAGGCTTCGGAACACAGTCGGCTCTGTACATTTCCCTGTCCCTACTCCCAGCTCGAGTTCTGCGACCACCGTACAGATCCAACGGCTCCATCCAGCTCAGCTCGGGCACCTGGAAGAAGACAAAGCTTTGTAGAGAGTACTGACAAGGCCCACGTGCCTGGGGCCACAGGACTTGAACTTGCACGCATCCACCCCGGCCCCTCAACGCTCTTCCTAAGTTAGGGTGGAGAGGTAGTAGTCAAGACTGATGGTCTGTGGATTTCTGCTTTGGCACTAGATTTGGTGACTTGGTTAAGAGGTCAGAGAAAGAGTGGCTGGGACACAATGAAAAGAAAAGCGTTCGCCCAAGGAGAGAAGGGGAGCTGTACGCAAGGAATGAACTCCGCGGGAGGCTGGACGCAGCCCTTTCCCACCCGGTCTTCCTCGCCCTTTCTCCCCCTGTCCCGGAGCGGCTTGGTGTGCGGGACTCGCTTTCGACTGCTGAAGGGAAAGCAGGGCGAATTCAACAGGCCCCCAGCTTCTCAGGGCGCCCTCCCTTGTTTAACAGCTTTTAAAGAAGGGGAATTTTAAGACATGAGAGTCTCTAACTTCCTCGAGAAAGGAGAAACCCCTTTTCAACAGACCACAGGAGTAGTCAGTCCCCCACCACAAGCACACGCACAGCCACGCGCTTCCGCGCTGGCGCGTTATCCCAAAGATTCTCAAGGGAAGGCGGGGGGGGTAACTTTTACAGGCCCGCTAAAAAGAGGGCCCATCAGGAGATGCCTTCTTTCCTCCTCGGATTCGGAAAGCTCCAATTGCTTAGTGGGAAACTCTGTGCACGAATTCCAGATACCGAGTCCTGTCGAACCTAAAAAGCCGCCCTTCCACCCCTCCGCCGGTCAAGGTCACCAAATACCCGAACCCATCCCCCATCGACTGTCAGTTCTGCCGACCCTAGCAGCTCTCCCTCGCTGCTCTTCCTCGTCCCCCTTCCAAGAAGTTTCCACTTGTTTTATTTTTGTTTTCTCCAGTCCCAAATCCTTGGTGATAGACTCAGGGTGGATTTTAATTGCCTCAATCGGCAGTGTTTCCATCCAGCTGTCAGTCAGGACCTGGACGGTGGGTCTGGCGACTGCGCTCCCGAAAGCGCACCACTAGTGCGCCGCCGAGGATCATGAGGCTCAATAGACAGGAATTAGGCGCTAAGGGGCTGAGATGATCCCTTAAGAGCGTAGGCGTCCCTCCTCCACCATCCCCTCCCCAAGTCGGAGAACCGCTCTTGATTGCGGCCCAGCCGTTCGGGCTTTCGAGGTCACAGCGACCTCACCACCGTCCTGAAGACAGGCGGCACGGAAATCGCTCCGCCTTCTCCGCAGCGGGACCCAGATCTCAAACAATACGCCAATCCACGCACAAAAAGACTACTCTCGGCCACCCTCCCCGCCTTCGCCAAGGTTTCTCTCTGGTCCACCCTTCGCTGAGGCCAGCACTCAATCAGAGACGTTAGCACCCTGGACAGCGCATCCGGCCCGGAGGGAAAGCCGGCACCCTCTTGCCTCCTGCTCTTCGCGAGCTCCCGGCACACCTACCACCCACTCACTCCGACTCCAGCTCGTGCGTACTGTCTGTCACTCTCACCACTCAGCTCCTTCCCTCTCCCAGTGTCCCCTCCGCCGCCCCCTCATCCATCCGCATCGGGCTCTGTCGCCTGCAAAATCCCCTCGGGCCCTCAGCACTTTCGCGTCTGGCTGTGAGGATCCCTCGGCCCCCTTCCCTATTTCACGTCCACAGCTTTCAGAGTGTTGTCACGTCTCAAAGCCCTAACTCCAACACACACACACACACACACACACACGCGCGCGCGCGCGGGCGCACGCAGACACGCACGTTCCCTGTCCCTGAGTGACATCCACCCTCTGCCGCGCGCTCGCGTGGTGTCCTCGCGCCACGAGTACGCACGCGCGCAGGACCCAGCCGAAGGCAGCTCCCGGCACTTCGCACTCGGCGGCGATCTGCTCCAGTCTCGCAGCGCCAATGGCATCTCCCGGTTCCGGCTTTTGGTCTTTCGGGTCTGAAGATGGCTCCGGGAATCCCGAGAACCCCGGCACAGGTAGGAGAATCGGGACCTGCAGCCGGCGAGCTTTGAGGGTGGACGGGGGTTTGCGGAGCTAGGGAAGAAGAAGGAGGTTTTCCACCTGCAACAGAAAACTTCGGCGGCTTCGCCCTGCTCTCGGGGCAGGTCCCTGATGGCCCGAGAGACCCAGACCTCCACAGGTCCTCATCCCCTAGGGAGCTGCCCCAAGATTCCGGGGCCCGTTCCGCCGAAGTCTGGGCTACGCTTCCCACCAGAGGTGGCTCCTCGACCCTCTGCTCCGTGGGCCTGGGGCACTGCCACCATCTTGGTGTCTAGATCCTGGAGAGAGACAGAGTCACAATGGGGAAGGAGTACATTGGAAAGGAGAGAGAATTATTAGTTTGGATAGAGGGCTTGCGGAGAAAAGGAACGACTAGATGTACAGGAAAACTCGCCCGAGCGAGGTAGGAAGGGGAGGGAGTCTTCCCGAACCTACCGGCACCTAGAAGACGAGGGGCCGGCAAGGGGCCGCGGCGTGGGCTTCTCCTGGTAGAAGAATCAGAGAACTGAGGGCCGCGCGGGATCTCCGGGCTCCCGCGCACCTCCCGCACCTGCTGCCCGCGGTGCCTAACCCTGGGCGGCCCCTCCCGGGACCCTGGGTTTATTGCTGTTGTTCACAAAGAACGAAATTCCGCACGCCCGTCTGTCTGCTCTTTTCTGCTGCCTCGCCGACCTCCTCCTTGTCTTTCTTGACAGCCAGAGCCTGGTGTCAAGTGGCCCAGAAGTTCACCGGCGGCATCGGGAACAAGCTGTGCGGTGAGTGCTCGGCCCAGGGGAGGGATGCGAACGGAGTTGGACGCTCCGGCCCGCGGCGCAGAGCCACCTTCTCGGCTCGGCCTCCCCAGCGGCGGAGTCGGGTTCGCTGAGTCCGAAATGGGCGGGGACCAGGGAGCCCGGCCCGGCGGGCGACTGACCGAGGTCGCGCCCCTTGTCCTTACCCAGCCCTGCTCTACGGAGACGCCGAGAAGCCGGCGGAGAGCGGCGGGAGCGAGCCCCCGCGGCCCACCCCCCGGAAGGCCGCCTGTGCCTGTAACCAGAAGCCCTGCAGCTGTCCCCAAACGGACCTCAACTATGCGTTTCTGCACGCGACAGGTGAAGGCGCCTCGCGGGGCCCGGGGGACCACTGCCCCTCGCTCTGCGCCCCTCCACACCTACCGCTACCGAGCGGAGGGCGGAGGGCGGAGGACGGAGGGCGGAGGCCGACCTTTGGAGAATCTTCAGCTGGGAAGTGACACACGCAGGTCCTGTCCCCTAGGTCTGAAACCCGACCCCAGCCTCTGCCCAGCGTTGGGCTCCCACATTGCAAGGGGGCTCTGGGGCCGCAGGGCTCTTCCCCGAGCGCTGCCCTCGGGGCTGCCCCTGGGAAAAATGCCCGCGCAGGCAGAGATCTGGGTTGCCTTCTTTGGCGCCGCTGAGGCCTAGGAGATTCGGCTTCCAGTTCAGAATTGCAAAGACTTTCTAGGTCTTTAGATCGCAAGAGTAATTTGTAGCTGGTGATTTCACTGGAGAACGATTCTATTCGCGTGAGACCTGCACGCGTTTTTGCTCCCTGTGTTCACACACCTAGTCATCCCAACGCACGCGCGCCACACACACACACACACACACACACACACACACACACAAAGCGCGCGCGCTCACAGGCTTTGGAAACAGCGGACTTTCCTAATAGGCCAGAGATCCTAACTAACATTGCATGTTCCACTCTGCCTGGTTTGCCCAAAGGTATTTCTCAAACATTTCTGACACGAAGAATTTCCATAAACACTTAGAAGGATTTACTGAGAAATAACATTTAGGATGAACCCAGTAAAGACGCGCACTTTTAAAAATAAAGCAAACAAGTTTTGAATTAAAATGCAAAAATTTAGGTGTGGTACAGGGAGAAATCGTAATTTCTCTCATCCTTCCATCTTTAAAAAAATGCCTCCCTTTTAAAGAAAACGCCGTGTGTTTCCAGAAGCTTAAAAAAAATACAATCGCTCATGTCATAAAAAAAAAATTGCCGGATCAAGATCTTGCCTGGGTATTTCCGCAGTAAAATTAAAATGTGGCATTTTGATTCCATTCTTTAGATCTGCTGCCAGCGTGTGATGGAGAAAGACCCACCTTGGCGTTTCTGCAGGATGTTATGGATATTTTGCTTCAGTATGTGGTGAAAAGTTTTGATAGATCAACCAAAGTGATTGATTTTCATTACCCTAATGAGCTTCTTCAAGAGTATAATTGGGAATTGGCAGACCAACCACAAAATTTGGAGGAAATTCTGACGCATTGCCAAACAACTCTAAAATATGCAATTAAAACAGGTATTGTCCCATCAGAAATAATAAAGCTTTTTTCTTTCACGATCTTTATTTTTTTCTAAAAAGTATTTTGTTTTATGGAGTTGCTGATATTGTCAAATTTACAAAAAAAAATATTTTCATCATTTAAAAGTATTATTAGAATGATTCGAATCAAAAGCAACCTTTACTATTAGTGTTAATAATGCATCTGAAGTTGATAATGTCAGAAACATTATCTAATTATAAATCGTCATATTTTACATTGCACATATTTGGCCACGGGGATTAACCACTGATGTAGAAACAACCATTTGTCAGCAGAGGCCAGTAGAAACGATGCAAAATGCAGAGAAAGGGGGACCAGGGAAATGAACGCTCAAAGAAACATGACCCAGACAAGAGCCCAAATACTAATGCAGTGCTGCTAATTTGCTTGGCACAGAAGTGGTCAGAAATTGGACAAACCATCCTATGTAATTATTGAACCAGAGGGATAACATTTTGGCATTGTCTCAAATGGCCAACACTTCAGTTTTGAACTCCAGGTTGTCTCTACTTTTAAAGAAATCTACACAAAAGAAAACGCAATTCAAACTACGTTAACAATTCAGCCATATTATACAAGGATGTGTGCTTCATTGCCATTCTGTACATAAGATAAAGGAGAAAGAAGGGGCAAGGGACATCAGACATCATTAGGGGCAAATTTATTGCTTTTTCATAGTTCTTTCATACTCTACTTATTCTATAGTACCAGGTGTACCATTTATTTGGATGCATTCTAAGTGTTTGTCTACACAAAACCAGCTCTTTGTCTCCCCTATCATGATTACCTCTTTCTTTTCTACATTGTCTCTAAGCATCCTGATACACAGTGACACCACACTTCATTAAAATAATAAAAATAAGTATGACTGACTTTTCCAGGGATGGGGAGAAGGGAGACTGTGAGAAGGGTGTAGCTGTTTGATTTGTAGCTAAATTCGATCTGTGTCATTCTAATCAACAACAAATGCTTTAAGAATGTTTGCTGTGTGATTTCAGCTTTGTGTGTGTGTGTGGTAGGGGTGTTCTTTGTACGTTCTTTACACCACGGGAGAGGAGGGGTATGCATAGAAGAAGCCTTAGGAAATTGATTTACTGAATTATTAGTGTCCTCTTCTGTGAGACTATAGGCTTAGAACTAGGCATATAGGGAAACGAATTTAGCTTGGTGATTTCTATCAAACTCAATCTGTGCAGTATGATTTTTGAAGGTTTATTAGATATAATTCTCAAGTATATTCATGAGAATCAACATGATATATATACTAGGCATTAAAGATGGTTTTGTTTTCCTCCCAGCTTTTCATGTATCTGTAAGTACAAACCTGAACAATCCTTCTAATTCATTTTTGTTTGAGCCATTCCCCTCACCTAGTATTAAATGTGAATAGTAAAATGCTACCTATTTTTTTGCTATCAAACCAAAAAGAATCTATACAAACGTTATATATCTTCATCCTTAAAAGCTGGTGGTGTCTGAAATACAATTTAAAGAGTTAAGACAATGGCTACTGCAAGTCAGTGAAAATAATTCTGTCACTGTTCCATTTAGTGTCAGGAAAACATACGTCAACTCAGTATGTTGATTTTTACCATAATACTTGTAAAACTTTTGGTCAAGTGTAGCTCTAATGCATATCATTTAAGGTTCAGGAAAAAAAGATTGATTAAGTTAGATTTCTAAGCAAGACATATTGATAGTAATTCAATATCAGTATTATTCATAACATACATAGGCTTCTTGTGTTCCACCCTACCCTCAAATAGCATTTCAAAGAATTAACAGCAGTCACCTTCATTTTTTCACGAGCCAGTGTATAGGTTTTTATGGTTATATCTTGACAACTAGTACTATTTGAGGTCTGTAAAGTAGTTACCACTCTGCTATCATTAAGCATTTTAATGCTTGTCAAGAGATTCTTTTATAAAATGTATCTTATCATCTGATTTCTAATTTACACTTGGGCTCCAAGCTTAGAGAGGAGTGAAGGGCAATGGGGAGATACTTTTAAATGATGCCTTCATGTTTTGTTAAAAATTACCTCTGTAAGATATCTTTAGAACTGAAAACTGCCTAGAATGAGAATGAGAGAACCCTGAAATAATTAGCGTTGGTGGGAGTCCTTAGATTTGGGGGTGGGGGTGGGGGTTGGGTGAGGGAAGGGTTAAATGTCGTGTTGAGTCTTTTAACCAAACCATCAGACAAAGGAATTGAAACGTCAGTGAAGTGAGGCCCTCCCCGGGTGCCTGTTGCCAGTGCGAACAGAGCAGTTTGGAGGACTTTTGGCCCCTCCCCAGCCGATTATTGACAAGCAGTCTCTGCATCCTTCCGGGCTCATTTGCTAATCTGCAGAGATCGTTCCAGAACTGGGAGGGGCTGTAATCTCACCTTTCGAATTCGCTGTCTCCCAGGCTGCTCAGGCTACAGTGGCCAAGGGATTCCTGGCGCAGAGCCTCACAGCCCAGGCAGCACGAGGTCCGGTGGGGGCGGCCGCAGCTGGATGCCAGGGCTGTCTGCACAGCTGGCAAGCTCCGAGGCAGGTCTCTCACACCCTTTCTCTCAGAGAGCCCTGCCGGGATTCCCCTGCAGCTCCTAGGGGTCATGTGAACCCAGCAAAATAATATTTCTGCAGAAATCAAGAGATCATGTTGTTCCAACCTGTCTAATAATCTCTCTGTATTTTCACATCATTGTCAGCAAATGAAAAACTTGAGGGAGACCAGGTGTAATGGGAGACCAAGGTCAAAAAAACATATAGAAGGGAGAAGAGCCATTGAAACATCCAACTTGTTTATACAGTTTCCCAAAGGCAGTCATCAGGGGGGACTGGCCTTTTGACATCCTGGGCCATGACTGGGGCCTAGGAATCTTTCAATTATATGCAAAGGTTTGCATGCCAAAGTTTCCATAGAGTTAAATAGTGTGTGACATTGGACCCCAGATTCACAGAGAAAATGCATGTGAATTGGGAGAGTAGATTAATGGATAGATTAGCTAATCCTTCTTAATTTCCTCCCTCTAAGGAAATGGCTTAAGGAAGAGAAATGCAGGGGCACCAGGAGGGAGAAGAGGGCTATGATTTCAGCTGTGAGTGCTAATGAAATGGGGAGTCAATGAGGCAGAGAGGCGCACAGGGCTGTTCCAGACAGGCGGTGGCAGGGGCAGCAGGGGCAGCAGAGAAGGCTTTTTCACTTTCTGTGGACGCACAAACTGACAGGGTCAGCATCAGAGGGCCTGGAAGAGGGAAAAAAAGATAGAAAGGGCACTTTTACACCACGGAAGGTAAAACAATGGCGGAACGGCACAAAGATCAGGTTGAGAGCTGCACAAAACCCGATCTCTTTCAAATGTGCTCCTTTCTTTTGCAGCTCCTATCTTTTCTCATCATCTAATTGACTAGCCACAAGCTGGATGCTGATAAGAGAGCATTTCGGTCCTAGAGATAAGCTGGGTGTTGACTTTTATCCCAGCTTTCCCCAGGCCTTCCTTTATCTTGTTTTGCCCGTGCTGGCCTGGGAGACTCACATCCCCAGGCTTCAGACAGGTGTCCAGTAAGTGGCAGGTGCCTTTTTATCAGATGCTGTTTCCCTAATTGTTCGTCTTCCCAAATTTTTGCTGCTAATTTATAGATAAGCTTTTCTGGGGCAAGTCAAGGAAGAGGAATTCTAATAAGATACTTACCATCACATCTAAAATAATAGCCTCGGGAGTATTTGGATGCCAACCCCTTCAGAGTGTCTTAGAAAAATCCAGAAATTAATTAGATAAGTCTTCCTAATGGACTGATTAGTCCATGGACTATATCTTCATATATCTTGCTGACAGGACAGTGATATTAACTGTATTCAGCTTCATTTTACATCGCACCTTGGAGAGAATTCTGTTGTTTATAATTACATATTTGGACAGAAAAGAATTGGCAAGAATTGGGTTTGTCCATACCAGCATTAGACAATCGTCACCTTTTGAATCCCAGACAAACCATGCCACAGAATGTCCTATTTTCTCATTTTTGCCTTGTCTTTTGCAATCATGAGCCATTTGTCACTGGTAGTGTTACAAGTGCTGGCATGCCTGGTGGATGTCGTGGTATGACTGACTCCAGAGCAGCTTCGACAGGAACGGATTTTTAGCAGCATGAGTGTAAACAAGAAAAGCCTGTCTCTGAAGACCTTTGGGTTGCACCAGCACTTTGGCTTGCGAATATATCGAAAGACTGCTAGGAAATAAGCTAGCGTCCACTTTGCAGATCACACTTGTTATTTTTAATAGGGAACGTTTAAAGGACAGTTTTAGAGTGTGTTTTAAGAAATACCAAAGATCCCAGATAGTCTTTTTGTTAGAGGAAATGTTCCTTCAGGGCAAGCGTGCGCACACGCGTGCGCGTCAGGGTTCTGAATATGGAGGTACTCTCACTGAAGGATCTTTCAAGGTTCTTTAGCTAGAGAAATTATGTGTTTGAGAGGCATTTATTTTCATTGGATGGAGTCCTGATTCTGGTATTCCATTCTATTCAGGGCATCCCAGATATTTTAATCAACTCTCCACTGGACTGGATATGGTTGGATTAGCAGCAGACTGGCTGACATCAACAGCAAACACTAACATGTAAGTAGTTAAATCTGCTTTTGTGTCATATAGGATAGTCATTAGTGAGATTGCATAGTCTTTATTCTGTGTCTCACGTGAAAATCTCTTTTATTAAGGAGCACCTAAAATGGATGGACTAGTATGGACATCAGATGTACTTCACTGTTCACTCAAGCTTATAGGATATAGTCCTCATAAAACTCTCATGCAAGCTATACAACAGTTTTTAAACACAAAAGGCACTTTTTTGCATTTGGGGCAATAATTATACATATATATATTGGAAAAGAGAAATGACACTTTTATTGTCTTTTAAATAGTTCTTTATTTATTTAATGTAATAAATGACCCTTGTGACTAAGTCAATAATTGAAGTTATTCACTTTACAAATATATAAAAATGAGCAAACCTTTTAGAAGACAATTTTCTCTCTGCTTAATATATAATCGTAACTTCTGTAAAGGTAGGGTTTAAGAAAGGAAATGGTTCTGTAGATATTATAATGATAAATTATTTCTTTGGGTTACATGCATAAAATGTGGCCATTAATTACTGTATTTCAGGTTCACCTATGAAATTGCTCCAGTATTTGTGCTTTTGGAATATGTCACACTAAAGAAAATGAGAGAAATCATTGGCTGGCCAGGGGGCTCTGGCGATGGGATATTTTCTCCTGGTATATGATATTTCAACTTTTCTTTGTGTTTCTTCTGGTATACAGTGTGCTATTATGAACCTAGGAAATCTTAAATATCTAGTCTTTATTTCTGTTTAGGTTAAATAGGCTGTATATTGATCAAAAGAATGAGTGTCATCAGGTATATGACCATTGCCCATGCCTCCAAACCAGCTATCCCATGCCTGAACACTAGTTATTTGTGTTCAAAAAGCACACGAACAAAGATGATATTTGCCCAGTACTTCTACTGGGATCCCACACACAAGACATATGCATCATGTGAAACAAAAAAAAAATTCATAATAAGAGAATTCACTCTCCACATTCTTCCCTGAAGTAGAGAAAGGAAAAGGATAGCAGCCTCTTTTAATAAAGCATTTTCCGTTTGAGACTGCATGACAGGCAGATCTACTTAATAGATCCTAAGTACCTTGTCCCTTTCAAGCAACAAGCAGAGAAGCTGATTTACACTAATTTCCAGGAGGGCAGAGAGTGCCTCGGGAGACAGTTTGTTAGAGCTCAAAGAGAAGGTGATGATTTCTTCAAGAATTTTCTAGTTCCTTTTCTTCTTTATCACTCCATTCAATCTCTTTCATCCTGCCTTTCACCACCCACCACTGCATTCTAAGCTCTATTATTTACACCTCTTCCAGCCAAGAGAATCAAACTGAAATAAAGCCCAGCCCTTGGTTCCCAGGTGTGTTTGTGACCTTAGTTCAATGCAGAAAAGAAACAGGAGTTCAGCAGGCAGCAGGAAAAGAGAGTCACTGACCCATGAAAAAGAAACCTGGTGTGCAGATCAGCACCTAATCAGTGGCAGGGAGGAGGTCCTCGTAATGGGGTGGGTGCTCCCTCAGGGCTCAGTACACACCGAGCCAGGCCTGCCAAAGGCCACTTTGTGATCTCTCTTCAGCAAATCTACAGAGACAAGGGTATGATGAGGGAGAGATAAAATAAAGAACTGGTGGGAAGAAGACATGATCAACAAGCCACAGTGTATTCAAGGCCAGACCTTAAACAAAGCAGCTTTACTGACACGCTCAGATCTGCTCTTTTATTTTATGTTTTTAAAGACATAACACATTTTTAAGGTGCTGAAGGAAACCCTGTTGGTTAAATTGTAGGGAAAATTAGCCTTTTCTTTTTCAGTTGTTGAACACCACCTGTGATAAATTTTATGCTCATCTTTATTTTGTAAGGAACTTAGTACTTAGTTTTTTGTCTGGAAAAAACATTCCCTAATGAGGGAACTTTGCCATTATTGCCTGGAACTGATGCTCTTAAGGTTTAGGGTGTTTTTCACGAGCAATTAGGTAGGGTTCAGAAATCAACATCACTTCTACCTTTATTCTTCCTCCTATTATTAGGTTTGTTGTGTGATTGAGTTGTTCCTGAGGGAGCCAGGAACATCCTCGGCTCCATTTTAATGGTTCCCAAGGGGGAGGAGAGAATTTGCTCCTCAGGACCCTGAAAATTTGACTAAAGGGGCTTAGGACAGGCCTAATTTACCTGGCTGGTCTTGGAACCCACCTGCCCCAGAAAATGTATACCCAGAGAAATCATCCTCTCTGGCGGTTCTGCTAAGCCAGGTGGGGACCAAGCACCTTCCAGACACCCTCATCAGTGACAGGAAATGATGGAGAGATGGGGTGAGACAAGACTTAAGCTTAATCATGAGGCTCATTCCTTGGACCCTAAAGGCCCAAAATGGAAGAAGTCATCGATGCCATGCTACAATATAATGTAGATATCACAAAGTGGGGAAGGGACAGAAGGAAAGGCTATTGGCCACCTGTTTCTTCTCTGCTTTCTGTAGACATTACGCAGGAAGGGTTGATAGCATCCTTAATCACTATTGGATGCCTTTCTAGGTAGCAGTCAGCCTTGTTCCTGGAGTAAAGGGTCTTATTATTTAAAGGGTAGGGATAAGGGGAAATCATATGTATTATGTGCCTGAGACCTGTAAGTCCCATTGCCTGGTACTAAGCCTGAAGGGCTAGTTCTGTAGCTGAATACATAGCTCAGCTGTTTGCCTTACACTTCCATCTATAACATCCAGAATTTCCGTGCTTCATCGAAAGCCCCTTGGGACATCTAGAAAAAAGTCCATTTATGTGACATCACCTGTGCTGACAGGCAGAGAGAGCTGAGCACTCCTCACTGCTCAGCAAGTCATGAAAGCCTCAGGCAGAAAGAGAAAAGGCTTGGCTTAGTCAAAGACATTTTCCTATCTACAGGCTTTTCAGAAGGATTCAGGGCTTGCTTTTGCACCCTTTCTTTGAAAGATTCAAGGGCAATAAGTGCATGCAGAGCTTGTGCCTCTATCTTCCTGCCTATGCTCTGCTCTGTCCAGGGCCCAGAAGCCTCTTCATCTGCACAAGGTCTGCTGGACCCTCAGACAGAGAATGACTAAGGTGCAACCTAAAGATGGGGAAAGCAGGCCAGAACCTCCTTGGATAAGTGTCCTGTGAAATGCATTTTCTTTGTGTACATCTTCTCTGTTGTCTTCTGGTCTCTTCTCCTCAGCCTGTCTGAGAAGAATGAGGGCAGCAGTTCTCAACAGGAGAATTTTGCCCCCAGATTCCCCCCCCCCAGAGGACATTTGGCAATGTCTGGAGACATTTCTGGTTGGCACTCTGGCAAAGCATAGTGCTGTGGGCAATTGTTGGTCAGGGATACTGCTAGACACCCTACAATGCACAGGATAGCCCCCCAAAATATTAAGTGCCAGGACTGAGAAACTATAGCCAGAAGGCAAGTTCCTTTAAAAGCTCAGACCTGTCTGCTCAGAGCAGGTCTGACCTAGATTCTGCTTGTCCCATGTCTCTGGGGTCCAGAAGAAGTAGGAATCGTCCTCATTCTGGCTGATGGCAGAGCCAGGATCTGGTTGATGATCATTCTGTGTCAGGCTGCCTGCTGGTGTCAGAGCCAGGGCTCATGAGGCAAAGATCATGCCCATGTGGGCCCTTCAACTAGGTACAGTGCCCTTATGTTCCTCAGCCACATGAAGAGGAGGGAACTCAAAGCACTCACATAATGACAGGGCCTGTGCATGTCCCTCTTTGGGTGAGAGAGGGAGCTAGTACCTTCACTCTACCTCATGACCTCACAACTTCCATATCAGCATATTCATTTACATGCACCACGGTCTGTCTTTTTCCTGAATAGCAAAAATGCTAACCTTTCCAAAATCTTTGCTTATCAAATAAAACTCTGCTTATTAGATATACATTTTATTATATGAAATCCTTGACAATGATAGGATGACACAGGAAAAGTAATTCAGTATGAACTTAAAATTCCCTTAGTTGCATGTCTTCCTATAATTATAAAATATGATTTTGTTAACTCTCATGAGTATATGTTCATAAAATGACATAATATGTTTAAGAGGGAAGAACTGTTTAGGGGAAATTAACAAATGACTATGGTGAGATAGGCTTGGATATTTGTTCTCATCCTGTAAGAATTGTTGATTAATGGTCCACTTCATTAACAGCAACTGATTTATCTCAGTTCAAGTGTAAGGCATTATATGAGCTGAAATGATAAGAAAGTCTGCTACCTGAGGCTATAAGTTAAATTTTCCTAGGCATGATACAGAATGACCACACTCACAAGTTGGGAAGGAAGGCAACACTTTCTCAGTTCTTAAAAGTTACTTCAACGAGGTCCCAACAAGAGCAGAATGGACTGCAGTTTCCCTTAGTGACAGAGATCGGTGTGGTGGGGGAACGTCCACCCTACGGTAGAGCCCAGTGCTCCTTCTCTGGACCCTCTTAGCTAGTGCCTGAGTCTGAGGATTCAATTCAAGGATAGCCAATAATGTCTTCTCCTGTGTCCAAGGCCTCCGCTCTAGGTCAGCGGAAATAGGAATGTGGCTTGCATATTGAATGATGTTGATAATCATGAGAAAAGGTAACTGTGTTGCTGTGTACTTTAGGTGGCGCGATATCTAACATGTATGCCATGCTGATTGCACGTTTTAAGATGTTCCCAGAAGTCAAGGAGAAAGGAATGGCTGCTGTTCCCAGGCTCATTGCCTTCACATCTGAGCATGTACGTGTTTCTATTCTTTCCAAGTTTAAGGTTATATTCTGTAAAGCCCAGTTAAAGGAATGATTATTTGGAAATGCAATATCCCTGGATGTTCTGTTTCTAGAAGATAATTCTTGGAAAAGAATCAGGGAAGAGAACAGCTGAGTGATACAAAGGGGTGAACTCTTTTGTCTTTGAAATTCAGGAAGATTCTCAAAGAGAAAGCAGAATGTTTTCATCTGCAGTTCCTGTGGTTCATTTTTTAGTAATAATGTTGTATGATGGGAGAACAGTAGGAGGAGAGAAAGCAGAGTCATTATGAACTCATTAGGATTATCCATACTGTGCCTATATGACTCAAAACTCCAAAATACCCTGTTGATTCCATCTTTGTGTTTAAAACTTCTGATAATATATTCTGCCTTCACGGTGTCTTGAACCATTTAATATTAACCCTTGGCAGACTTAACCAGAGGTTTTATCACTGTAGAGAAAGAACACAGTGATCTGTCATAGTTGATCTCTGGACCAGATCTGTCTCAGCCAATCACAGGCTCCTTCCTACTACAAACTGCTGGCCAGGCAGGATGCTGAGACCTTGGGCCTCCTTTCTTGAATGCCAGGGAATAGCATTTTATATTCCTTCCATCTTCAAAGAGCTATTGCCATTCTCCCTACTACCATGGAGGCATTGAAACCATGGCCCATCCTGTTCACATAAATTGAGCCAACAGCTCTGCTAGGCAGCCAGCTTTCTCTCACATACCAAGGTAGAGCAGACACAAGTTCAAAGTCACAGTGCCACTGTGTGAATAACATCTTGGTACAGAACCATCCCCTCACACAGGCCTCACAATGAACAAAACTGTTCTGAAGGTGCTAGGTAAGCATTAGCTGCTGCCTAATTTCTAAAATTGATCCTTTAAAACCTTGCCTCAAAGTAGCTTAGGAGCTGGAAAACAATTGCCTCAAAGATCAAGAAGCCCTTGGATTGTGGGGGGAAAGGAAATAAAGAGGGAGGAGAGGGGTCTATAGGGAAACTAAAAGCTCCTGAAAGAGAGGTTAGTCAGGAGAAGCAAGAAATCATAGTGGGCCTCAGGTCTACTATGGGACTTTTCTTTTTATGTTTTAAGAGGGTGTGTGTGTGTGTGTGTGTGTGTGTGTGTGTGTGTGTGTGTGTAACAAGGAAACAAGGGGCAAGTATAGGTTGGAAGCCAGTGAATACAATTCATAACCACAGCAGTACCCATGGAATCAAAAGAAACTAATGACTTATGTTAACAAATTATCTTTAGCACCTTATTTTTAGTCATGTTTACCACAAATTTATGGTTTAAAACAACATGACTGCATTATCCTACAGTTCTGGAGGTCAGAAATTAACATGAGTGAGGCAGGCCAGGTTCCTTCCAGAGATGGTAGGGGAGAACCATTTTTCTTGCCTTTTCCATCTTCTAAAGCTCACCTGCCTTCCTTGGTTCACGGCCTTCTTCCATCTTCAAAGCACAGAGTATCTTCAAATCTGTCTCTCTCTCTGACCTCTGTTTATGTCACCAAGTCTCCTCTGGCTCTGACTCTCTTATCCCCTCTTTCCCTCTTAAGGACCCTTGGGATTACTTGGGTCTGTCTACCCAGATAACCCAGGATAATTTCCCATCTCAAGACCCTTAATTTAATCACATCAGGTCCCTTTTGCCATGTAAGATAACATATTCCCAAGTTTCAGGGATCGGATAGGACATCTTTGTGGAGGAAGGCATTGTTCAAATTACTACCTTCCCCGTCAGCTAATTTTCATTTCTCAACTTCTCCAATGCTAGAAAAACAGGACACAATTTCTCTCAAATTACTGTTTCCCTGCAATGGATTTGGACCCCGACATAGCCCAGTGTTGCTGTATTCTGTCTCAGAAATTCCAGATGATCTCATATTGGGTATCTTTTTCTTTCGGCTTCGATGCTGATTGCATGACCTGAAATGAGGTCGGTCAACCAGCAAGTCTCCCTGTGCTCTGTGGTTTCTGCTTGAGTTTCTGCAGCTCAAGCTTCGCACAAATTGACTTAACCTTTACCCGGAAAGTTCAGGTCATGTGGCCTGGGAATAATTTTGCTATAAGCAATCATTTTGCTTTTTTTCCCTTCATATTGCAAACTTGGAGACTAATTCTTTATTTCTAAGGGAAAGAAAAGGTAATTCAGTTATACAACCACCCTTTGGTTCTCCCTCTTCTTTCCTGGATCTCTATCCACATACATAATTATGAAGGAGCACTTAAATTATAAACTTGCCCTAAAATACCAACTGGTTTTAACCACAGGCTTATTTTGGACAAACAAACTGCTTTTCTAATGTATAATGTATCTTATACATCATTATATCTAATAACTATTCAACCATTTCCAAATACTCCCAATGTACATCAGCTCATTTGATTCTCACAACAATCTTGTGGAACAGGCAGAACAGAGATTGTTAGTATTTTTAAAATGAAGAGGGTACAGTTAGCTATGTAGGCAGAGCCAGGAACATGGATTTTCTGGCTCCCAGACCACTGAGTTCCCTGCCTTGACTTTCACTGTAGAAACCAGATTAAAATATTCAGGCTCAAAGATTTGTACAGAACAGTTAGACTGATTGAACATTTTCTATCTCCCCACATCAAATTTCCACCAAGAGCTTTTTCTTAATGTGAAGGTGATTCTAAATTGTTACCTCCACCCACTGGAAAATAAAACAAAAAACAAAAACCTCCTTTTTATCTCACAGGGCTGGGCTGGATCAGGTTTTTAGAGTTTATTGAAAGCACTCCTATGTCTCCTTGAACACTCAATCCACATGATTCTGGACAGGTGTGCCCTTAAATGTTAAGTGCTGCCCTTGAAGCTCCAGGTTAAAAGGTAACTCAGTCCCCATGTCTAGCTCCTTGTGAGCTTCATACCTCAGGGCTATTCCATTCCATCTGTCATTTAGCGTAGCTCCTTCAAGCTTCAGACCAAACCATACATTCCCCTAGTCCTTTCAAATTTTTTAATCCCTGCGTCTCTACAAGCCCTAGACATAGATCTCCATAGGCTGAAGAAAGAAAATTACCGAGTCATGTCTCAAATGCCTTTTCTCCAGGCCAACTTCCATCTTTACATAGAGGTTTCTTTTCTGAATCGCTTAACCTGCAGGGAGAAGGGGTGGTGGGTGGGCTTCTGTATGGGCCCAGTGAAGAGAGGGAGAGTCTGCTGCAAGTGTTGTGTCTCTTCATGTCCTTTGAGAGTATCTAAAGCCCACAACTTTGGGGGAATCGGATGAGAGCCTCAAAGAACTCTTACCTCAGTGCTTGGGACATAGGAAATTTACATTAAATATGAAGTACTTAAAAAACAAAACAAAACCTTTGTGTTATAGATGAAGAAACCAAGTTCCAGCCCTGACTGATGTGGCTCAGTGGGTTGGGCATCATTTCTGAAAACCTAAGGGTCTCGAGTTTGATTTCTAGTTAGGGCAGATGCCCAGGTTGTGGGTCAGGTCCCTGGTTGGGTGCACACGAGAGGCAACTGATCAATGTTTCTCTCACACATTGATGTTTCTTTCCCCCTCTTTCTCCCTCCCTTCTCCTCTCTCTAAAAATTAATAATAAATAAACAAATAGATAAATAGATAAATAAATAAATAAATAAAATTTTTTTAAAAAGAAGGAAACCAAGCCCCAAAGGTGGAAGATGCTTTGCCCAAGGTCATGGCCATTTAGTGACAGAGTCAGATCTGGAACTTCAGTCTCCGAATGGTCCAAGTACTGCTCTTACAACTGCTAGACAGAATGACCCAAACACCACTCTGACTACTATACACTCACTTGTAGTGCCTTTTCTCAAATCTTATTTCTCCGTGTTGGGTATTCTAGTGCTAATGTAATTTCCTGATCTATTGGACCTGCTCAAGTTTCTGTCCTGAATACTGAGTTAACAGCTTGACATGTGTGAAGCAACAGAGATGGAAACAGCACTGAGAAACATTGTCTTCCGCACCCAACCAGAAACTTCACACATTTAGGAAGGGGAGGGTCATCTTTTATTTTCTCAATGACCCATCATTCTCTCTCTTGCACTTCACCAAAGCTACCCATTTCTTTTCTGTCCACCGAAACAGATTACAACTTTCTCTAGCTAATGAGTGGGGCAACACATTAAAATTTTGTTTGTTCAAATCAAATGTTTTCTTGAAGTTTTGAATAGGACTAAATTAAACAAATAGCACTACTGTGAAGAACATTAGAAATAAATAATTCACTGAGTTGAAATGAGAAAAAGAATAGAAGCTCTTAGTGAAGAGTTCCAAAATTATTTTCCTCCAAAATATAGAATAACAAAATCTCAGAAATGGAAAAATCTCTTAAAGATCATCTGGTCCAATATACCTTCTTTGTTAGAATCTCCTTGCCTTCAAAAATTTTTAGTGATAGAAAACTTGGCAAAAAATACCTGAGTTTCTTTAATGAATGTAGGTTTAGAGAGAAGCTCAGATCCCAGCTCCTGTCTCTCGTTCTCTCCTCTGAAAAAACCCAACCATGAGTTTAATTTCAAATACCTCTCATTTCCTCATGTGACACAAGATCTTCCAGAAATAGTTTTAATGAAACAGCATAATTGCATCTAAGAAAAATGTACTCCATAATCAGGACAAACACTGGGATCTTTCAGGCCAATCACCATAACTAACTCACTCAACTTTCACAAACCAGCCCAGCTCATGCCCACATCCCCTGGGACCAGGCACCAACATTCTGCTGTGGCCCCTCACAAACTGGGCCCACTTCTCTGGGGAGGTGATTTTCATAATTGCTTTGGAAACATGTTTTTCACATAACAACACTATTTCAAAGGGTTTTGATTCCCAAAATAGGTGTCTTTGATGAAAAAAAATCTAATGGCAACCCAGTCAGCTTAGAAAAAGACAGCTCCCATATAATGATTCCCATTAGACAGATTCCCTTAGGTAGAGTTCAGCCTAACAGAACTTTCAGTAACTGAATC